ATTTGAAGCTTTTGAAGAAATGTCTATTCTACACTTTATTCATAAACTTAATGACAGAAACCTTTTCTTGAATGTTTTAGTAAACTAATATTTATATTATTTACACTGACTATTGTCCTCATTTTTATTGTTATTACATTGCTAATCATTGTGGTGGTCAGCCTTCATCGGGTACTTGTTAATCTGTGTAACCTTCAGGAAATTTCAAATGGAACCCTTTAATCTAGGCTATTGTGGAACAATCTTAAGTATAGAACTTGGAGCCTTAAACCAAATCTGTCTGTTACTGCTTGTCATGCTTGATTGCATTAACCAAGGCTTCTTTTTTTTTTTCTTACTACTACTACTACTACTACTGAAGCCTTGCTGTTATTTCTTTCTTTATTCATTAACAGTCCCTGTATTGTATTTACTTCTATGTTAAGCCTATTAAGAAGATTCTCATAGCCTAATATATGTGCCAATTACTTAAGATGCCTGACTCACAAGTCAGAGTGCAAATAACATTCCAGAAATTCAGAGATATTCTAATAGTTACAATTTCCAGACTTCATTTCATAACACCATAAAAAATTCCTATTGACTTAATTACCAATGGGAATGTCCTCACAGACATAAAAGAGATGTTATAATGGACAGGATCAGCCTAGCTAAACTAATTCATTCTTCACACATTATTTTATAAAGAATTAAACCGTATAAAACAAGTACTTATTAACAATAATTTCACAATCCATGTTATCGATGAGAAAATTAGGTTTAAAGAATTTTTGGTAAATGCACAAAAGATCTTGATATAAACAAAAGTAAAAACATTAATTTATTCTATTGATGCACTCTACGCAAGATGAAAAGTGGTCAAAAATACTATTTACTCACACCTATTACTTAATTGTAATAAATAGCTAAACTTCATTACTTATTTCAAAAAGTTTAAAATATCTAACCTAATAATCACTGATAATTTGAAACCTCAATCAGTTCTGTCATGCAGAAAAAAATTCCACTGATTGACACTTATCAATGCATGCTGAACATTTATGGAGACCAAACAGTTGATGAGAGCATAGTTAAGCAGTGAAAAAAAAAAAAAAAAAATCAAAAAAGAAAATCAAAAATCACTCCCACCAGTGCAGTTTTTTTTTTTTTTTTTTTTTTACAAGCATACATTGCAGGCTTTTGTTCATTGCTGTCAAAAAAGAATGGAATCAATTATCAAACTTATACTTTGAGAAACTTTTGCAAAGAATGCCAAAAATTTTTGCTGCAGTAACAAAGGAGGATATTTTGATGAGAGCAAAATTTAATCATAAAATGCTTTTTCCTTTATCGTCATAACAAAATTTCTAATAAAAACTCAAGTCTCACTTTTTTTCTTAACCATGTATAATAATTTTCTCTTATTTAAAGTAGAAACCAACTATTTAAAAATCTTTCAGGGGTGGACTCAAACTTTTGAACTGTAGTATGTGCATTTATATATATATATATATATATATATATATATATATATATATAATGAAAGCGGAGTCCTTAGAAATCCATTTAGGTGATGATTTATTTCATGGGATCAGGTGCCTATCTCTTCAAACCCTGAAGAGATGGGCACCTGACCCCATGAAATAAATTATTACCTAAATAAATTTCATTATTATATTTGCTCTGTTCTTACATTGAGCTCTCTTTGGATTTATATCCTTCTTGGAATTATCACTACTAATTATCAAGTGATATATATATATATATATATAGCATGATGCACACGTGTGCAAACATTATTAATCCTACTTATGTAATATAATATGTGAATGGTTAAATTTTGATATTTCACTGCATATATTAATATGCTAAATTACAATACAATTATGAAAATTTTCTTGCTTGCACACAATTATCAATTTCGGCTTAAATACAGAATTCTGCATACATTGTTCCAAACTCTTCAAATACTTCTAAATCTATTTTAATATGGTATTAATACATAACTATCTTAAATCATAAACCTGATACTAAATTGTATTTGATGATTGGTGCTTTTAAGATAAAATACTTTTCTAAATTACCAGACATGTTTAAGTTTCTTCTACAAAAGAACTTATAGCAGGGTGTTTAACCCTTTATCATTCAGCCACCCAGACCCACTCCGTAAATATCAAATCTCAATGTTCAACCTACCAGAACTCACCTCATATATACTCTGTCATAAAATATGATGACATCACTACAAATAACGCAGTAAGTCACGCAAAGAGTGTGACTTTGAGAGCCAATATTTTATGGGGCAGATCTGAGCAGGTTGAATGCTAATGGGTCTGAAACACCAAGTAGGTTATGTTCACCACACCCATGAAGTTGAAAATTAGAAAAATCTTTTTAAAAATGAAAACTGCTAATTTATGACTTTTCTTCATCTGAATGTAGGATAATAAATTCTTGTTAGGTTAGAGTTGGGGAAAAATTCCTCTAAGAATTTTGGACATTCTTCCAATTTATGCCCACCTACAGGACAAATGACAACAGTACAGGTGTTAAGAATTTGTGAATGTGAAACAAATAAATTCTACTCTAAACAAATAAGGAATGGAGCAAGGCAGGAATTAAGTGAAAAGAAATACAAATCAAACTGATGTAAAAGAAAAATACATCTGTTTCTTTTTCTTTGCTATACTGATCTACAAAAAGCAGCTCGTTTAAAATGCAATTGCTAAAGGAATACACATAAGAGTCATGAAACAATATATTTTCCTTTTTAAAATTCAGTACAGTTAAAAGTAAAAGGGTCAACAAAATAGGCAGGAATTAAACTAGTTCTAATTTATCCATTGTACCCAGTGAAGTCTAAAAGGACATACAGCATTCTTCTATCATATTCAGGTCCATAAAATGATATCTCAGATAAAGCAGGGTTATACAAAATGAGGTTTAATCAAAATAATACAAGAACAATCTAATTAGAAAGTTAAACATGAAATATTCTGACACATTGTATTATCTAAATTAACGTAAATTTGGGGTTTTACAGGATTTCTTTCTTCAAATTTCATTGATCATACACATTGCAGAAGAGTGGCCCATAAAGTAAATATTATTTGCATTCAGTTTTATGTATTTACAATAAAAAGAAACCCCCAAATTTCAAAGGTACAATGGATTAAAAACAAATCAATTGACAAAGCATCAACATCTTTTTGAATTCATTAAAAACAAAACTACATTGTCTATAATGAAAACTGTTGTAAGAAATTATACTTAGTTGAAAAGTCATCCAAAATCTTGAACAGAGAGCTAAGTATTAAAAGCATTGACCTATACTCGAAAGAAAATTAGAGAAAATTAAATTGACAAGTGCTATAGTATTTTCAGCAAATTATGTATTGTCATAATCAGTCTTTAGATGCCATATTGCAAAAAGATTATCTTATTTAAGGAAATATAAAATTTGCCAAGAGAAAAAGAGTAATTATAAAACAAGAAAGAAAAAACAAGAGAAAGGAGGAAAAAAAGGGGGAAGAAGAAAAAAACGCATTTCTAGAAATGACAAACTTTACTGCCAAACAGGATTAGGATGTACCCTAAACGCACTATACTATTTTTAAGCTTATTCATATGTTGTTAAGGTTAATTATCACATGAATAAATATTTCATGGCTTTCATAATGACAAAAATAAATAATGGATATCAGTTTTCTCCTGTTAATTCCCTCTGAAAGTTCTCCACTGCCTTAACCAGGTATTGAACTCACACTCTTTGGGTCCTGTCACTGGATCTAACTAACACCTTTATCAACTGTGCAATGTGTCCTTGAGGACATCTGTGTAAGAATTTCTGGGTATTATAAACCTAATGTCTTCAACATCATTTTTTTACCAGTGTTCATATTGCAAATTTTGTTGTTGTTGTTATCGCTTTTCTCTGGCACTCCTTATTACTGATTCCCATATTGTATTCATTTCTATGCTTGGTTGGCTCAGGAGATCTTTGTGGCTTAGCATGTGTGCTGATTCCTTAAGTTTACGAATTTTCCAATGATGTTCTTTGTCTATGATCTCAACTTGATCCAAAAGAGGGCGGTGATCTCCCTTTTCTCTTCATATGTGGTCAGCCATGCCTGATTTTTCCACTTCTCCTCATGTTACAGCTTTCTAGTGTTCTTGAAGCCTTACCTTAATATTTCTTTCCACAGCTGCACGGGATAGAATACACACAGTCTTTAGTCATGTTCTCCTCTATGCACACATGGCACAGTGGATAAAGGCATTAGTTAGATCCAGTGACAGAACCCAAAGAGTGTGAGTTCAATACCTGCTTAAGGCAGTGGAGAACTTTCAGAGGGGAATTAATAAGAGATAACTGACACCCATTAGACATGGCACGTGGAACTAAAACAGTCTACCCCAGTTAGTGAAATAAAGGGTTCAGTTCGACATTCCAACCACCTGAAGAAGGCCGGAGCATACAATGGCCAAAACGTTGTGATAAACATGGCGACAAAGATGAGGACAATAGTCCGAATAATGTAAATAGTGTACATAATACCTCATCTCAGAAATATAGAGAGATACTGAAAAATAAATAAGTATAACCTTTCTGCAATACAGCATTATTGATACAACTCAATATATTATACTTTAATTGTTAAGACCAATATTCTCAGTTTCATTTTTTGTTTAAAATTCCATAATTTTCATGGAATACTTTCTGCTTGTCACAGAATGATAGAATTTGATATATATTTGGAATAAGAAAAGAAAAAAAAAAAAAAAACTACTACAGGTGTTACAGTATCAGGAAAAACATTTCAGGTATAAATGACCTGGAAATAAATTCATCAAAATATTTTGATTGTGTTTTTTTTATTTTTTTTGTAGTGGGAGGGGATGAAAGGATAAATTCTATATCGATAAGGATATTAGTCTCAAGCAAATCTGAACTGACATCTCACCTGTTTGCTTAAGATATTTGCAGAGTTTCTATATCATTAAAATGTTTTTATACATACCTCGAGTTAAGTTGGGTGAGCTGAGTCTCATTGGTCTTTTCATCCCAATATCTGAGCCTGAAATAAAAAAAAAGATAATCATTCACCTTTCAAAGGAAATTTGAATTATACAACATTAAAATTCTAAACATCCTGTGCATTATAAAAACTGTTTGTGTGTGCTCCTTCATGCATCACACTTGTCTGGAGATTTTTAAACTTCTTGATCCACTTATACACACTTCTAAGCAGTAGTGTACTGTTGCTATATTGTGTTAAAAACTGACAATATATTTCAGCCCCTGACAGACCTTCTGATCAAAGAAATTGAATCACAGTTCTTTGCCCCTCCTTGGTGTCCACTGATGGCAGAGCAGAACAGCCATGTTTACATGGTAACAGCAAGAAAACTGGTATGATCAAGCACAAACTTTGATCACGTGACCACATTAGTAACAACTGTAAGCACACATAAGCAGAAGGCAGTGTGATAAACCGAATGGTATGTTATGATGAATGTGCAGATAATTTTTAACTTACCCTTGTGTCTGTGCACGTATATATATATATATATATATATATATATATATATATATATAAATAAATAAAAAATAAGAGGTTATAGTAGTTCCAATGACACAAAAGTGTGTATATTAAAAAGAAGAGAGAAACTGCAAACGATTTTGATTGTAATGTGGATTTTGAAAAAAAATATCATGCTTTATTTTCCATAATTTTGCTACATTTGTTTCCAGTCTCACAACTGTCATCAGGCAAAGGGTGGAGATTTCCACATATTATTAAAAATAATTAATTTTTTTCTTTGTTTTTCGATGTTAAATATTCTCGATATGGGACATTCTCTTTTTTTGTGTTAGTGATCCAAATGTCTCTCTTGAACTGGCAGTGAAAAGTTCTGCATGACGGGTTATAAAACAATTAAGATTGGTTCGAGAAATGATGGGGTATTTATCAGCATGCTTATCTTTTAATGACCTCTGTGTGTTCTTAGATCTACTTTCATTCTCATGTGCTTTTGTCAACATGCGTGTATATATGTGTATATCCCCTCTCCATACATACACACTGTCTCACTACGAGGAATCAGTGAACACATCTGTACACCCACGCACACATATCGTCACATTACAGGGAATCAGTACATACACACACACATACTCCCTAAGTTGTGTGGGGTTTGTGTGTGTGCCTGTATGTAGTTCTCCTGCTTTTGTCAATATGTGTGTGTGTGTGTGTGTATATATATATATATATATATATATATATATATGATTTATTTAGAAAATTTATAACATAGACATGTTATAAAATCACTACAAAAATAGCCATTTTGTTTCAACACTCCTGGTGTCTTATCAAGTGATGATGTTGAATGCAAAACAAATGGTTTTAAAAGTTTCAAATTCGTTAACAATCTTTCACAAGGGGAAAACATTGTTCCAAAAGCTAGAATGACCAATCAAAATACAAGTATAGGAAAATTCAAAAAGCCTGACAACGAAGTCAAGTTATAATAGCTATTCAGATCGTTAAAATACAGGTAAAATTAAAAAAAGAATTTATTCTAACCAATAATTATTAAATTATATGATAGAATTTGATATTAAAATTAAAAACTGCCAATTTTAAAATCGAAATTTAATCACTATTAAGTTTAAAATTATAAAATTACTTAAGAGAAAAGGGGAAATACATATGTTATTCAATTTATTTCTTCGTTGAAATTATGTTAGAATAAGACGTTACTCCAACCGGTCCTCTGACAATATATATGTATACAAGTGTGCTAATGGGGTCATAAAATCACGCGTAAAACAACACAAACACAATCAGATTATAATACATAAGCTTCCAGACATATTTAGATATATATACACACAAAAAAGTGACGAGACAGAGAACATCTCCACGGCCCTTTATGAAAAAAAAGAAAAAAAAAAGGGGGAATCAAACACATACATACATAATTAAAAGTGAATGCACTTTCCATACACATAGACACCGATAAATACATGTACACACATCCGACATTGACCTAGACAATCAGATACCACAACCAATAAATAATTAGACTGAAAGTGTCATTAAATAAATCCTAGCCGCTTATTAAAATACAACTTAAGCGAGCAAATATACAAATATAAAAATGGTTAAAAATAATATTATTTGATATATTAAAAAACAAAAATTCTAAATCCACAAATATCTATAAAAAGATATTTTAATCAAATAAGTTGATAATAGTTTTATTATATATTAGGTGAAGAAAAATAAGATAAAAAGAAACACCTACAGAAATAAGTGTATAGTCATACGTACATACATACATACACATATGGCAGCAAACATAAACCAACACACACACACAGAAATACATACATATATACACACAAACACACACATATATATATATATATATATATATATATATATATATATATATATATATATAAATACATAAACATACATATACACATTTATGATAAGTATACATACATATATACACACACATTTATGCACACACTCACATAAATATACATATATGCACACACCAATACATAAACATATATACACACACATAGATTAACTCATGTGGCAGTAATGAGAAACCAAAGTTTCCATACCTACACACCAACAATCTCATATATAATAGGTGTCAACCCACACATATATATATCCATATACATATACATATATATATATATATATATATATATATACATACACACATATAAATATATACATAAATATACCTATCTATAATAACAAGTACACGCATATACATATATACACATAAATATAACGACATTCAACTAAATACATATATAAATATACATATATATACATAAACATCCATCCATATACATATGCACACCAATATATATGTACCCTAACATACATATATAAACATTCATAGAAACAGAAATATACATATATACACACACACACACACATATATATATATATAACAAAAACAACCTAAACCTAAGTAAATACATTGAGAAATAATTATATAGGAAGAATAACATTGAATGATTTTTGTTCCTTTTGCTTTTGGAAATATTACTATGCATGCATGAACGCCAACACATGACTGTATGTATACAACTATGGTATTGTACTTGAACACTGATGCACCTGTTGATATGTACATGTATATGTTTTTATATGGAAAGAGAGGCATACAGGGTTTTTTTTATGTGAGTGTAGAGGTGTACAATTAGATGGGTACCTATGTTTTGCCATAGATATGAAAGAGCGGGTAATATATGTGTAGAGATATGTATAATTATACGATTTGGGTATCCATAATGTAATTAAATATTGATATAGTCTTCAAATGCAGGCATAAGTGGGTGTATGAGTGGACATGAGGATAGAGACATGTACGTGTGTAGATATGTGTACGTGTGTAGATATGTGTACATGCATATGTATGTATGTGGATATATTGCACATTATGTATGGATATGCATGTATGTGTATGTATGTATGTATGCATGCATGCATGTGTGTGTGTGTATACTTATATATGTGTGTGTAAGTGTATATGTGCATATGTACATGGACGTATATGTATATGGATATGCAGGTGATTTTATGTGTATATATGTAAGTATAAGTGTATGGGTAGATATGTATGTAGATATGTGGGTATGTGTTTCTCTGCAGGTGTATATGTGTAAATATGGGAATATACATATAGTTTTTCATGTGGATGTGTGTGCAGGTGTATATAAGAACTCATAGGTATATAGTGAGATATAGGTATGTGGATATAGATAGGGGTTTGGACATGTGTAGAAGTGTATATGAGTATGGATATATAAAAGATTGTAAAAGAAGGACCTATTTTTTTCCTAGTAATATTTTACCCAAATTTCTCCTCTAATATTCTCCAATTGGAAGTGAGTTTAAATAACACAAAGGTAAAGTTTAAATTGGTAATTTAATTTAAATTGAAATATACTACCCTTTAACAATTAGTATTGATGATAAAGTTATTTAAATTGAAAGAACCTTTGATAATTATGTAGGTATATTAAAAAAGTCAAGTTTAATCGATGAACAAAACTGAAACGAATAGATGTCAACTGAATAATCAACTCGAGATTATTTAATTAATGAACAAAAATCAAACGAATAGATGTCAACTTAACAATCAATAAGATACAAGTTTAGAAAAATAAAAAAGATTACTAAAATGGATTACTTTTTCAATGTACTCTCTATGAGTTTTTCCAATTGACTGTTTCATAGAAAATACCCAAAACTCCAACGAACTTCAAATTAAATTCTTCATAGATTTTTTAGACATTTAGATTTATATCAAACCGTAACCTCCCAAATATGCCCTTTAAAGTAATGCGAATTAACAGCGTCTAAGAATTTGAATGAAACCTGCCCTCGTGGAATGTAATTTATTAGGGTTGTTGTAGCTTCTTCCTTTAATGTCGGTCTTCTCCCTCACCCCTTACCCATCTATATCTAGAGACAATACACGTTAAGTTTAAGCGACGTCTAGCCGACACACAGTGGGGTTAAGAATGGGGAATTGAAATGGTACATCTAATTCACTCATATCTTATCTTCTCTCCCACCTCACTTCGTTAATTTTACATATGCTTGATGCGGTCCATCAAAAACGTGTGAATTTCTTTTCATTTTAACCTTTGGAAGTAAAGTCTGATGATCCAGAGCCCTGTTAAAGGGGTTGTAGTGAAATACCTTATTACATGGAACCTTAAAGTGGTCTGTTTTTATTCAAACATATCGGCTCTGAATTTTACATTGAGCTCTCCGGAGATCATCCTCCTTGGATCTAACCATGCGGATTACCTAGTTTTGCAAACTAAACTATATATATATATATATATATATATATATATATATATATATATATATATACACACACACACATAAAAATACTTATCCATAACAAGTACACATATATATGTACAAACACATAAATACAAACAGAAATATACTTAAATATAAATTTAGATACACAATATATAACACAGGACACATATATATATATATATATATATATATAT